GGGTAGTTTGGAGAAGAGAAAGCTGAGAGGTGACATTATTATTGTTATTCAAGTCATTTTTTACCTATGGTGGCCTTAAGACAAACCTAAAATAGTGTTTTCTTGGCACAATTTGTTCAGAGTTTGACTTGCCCAATAATAATAATAATAATAATAATAATAATAATAATAATAATAATAATAATACATTATTTATTTATTTTTATTTTTATATAAATTTTATTGCAATAAAAACATACATAAACATACATACATTAGATACACAAATACAAAAAATACAAATAAAGAAATCACAATATAAACACAAACACAAACCTATACACACATAAACATAAGAAACAGATAAGTATACATGCCTATCATTTTTAAAGCATGTCTTATCTGAAATACACCACTTTTGTTATACCACTGTCATCACACTTCCTTGATGTATTATAGCTATCTAGATATTTATTCACTTTTCATCACTTCCTCAAATATTTTTTTTCTCTTACCCAGGTTCTTTACCATTACACAACATGCAAACAGAAAAAAAATATGAAAAGTTAAATTTTTAAACAAATATAATCCACCATTCTATTTTTTTCTTTCACTTTTAATCCTATACATCCATTTATTCTAATCTTAAACTTTTCTTGATTGTTCATTATAACTAGATTTACCATTCTTAATAAAGTCTACTTATATATAACCTTTTTATACATAAGCTTTAAACTTTCTGTTTGTTCATAAAAAGATAATATCTCTTATTTCAGTATCAATATAATATTAGACCATTCTGGTTAATTCAAATCCGTCTAATCCATTTACTGTTATACCTTATCATATAATAATACATTATTTATATCCTGCCCCTCTGCATTGCAATCAGGGCAGCTTCCAACAGTAAGATCAAGCCCAACCCTAATCCTCCCACCCCTTAAAAAATATTAAACAACATTGATTTAACAGTTTTAAAATAAGGCAAATACCCAAAAATTGCAGATTGAAAATTACAATAATATAATAATATTATGCCCAAGATCGCCTAGTTGATTTCATGGCCAAGCAGGATTTTTTGTCCTGGTCTTCAGAGTCATGGTGCGATGTTTAACCCACATACCTTGCTCTCTCTCACCCTCTTTAAATAACTAAAGGGATGTGATATAGAAGCTAGAGTAAGCTTGTTTCTGTTTCACTAGAGACTGGCAGACAAACATATGAATTCAAGTTACAAGGAAAGATATTCTACCTAAACATTAAAAAGAACTTCTTCACTATAAGAGCTACTTGATAGTGGAATAGAGTGTCTTGGACGGTCAATTCTCCTTCTGTGGAGGTCTTTAAACAGAGGTTCCATGTCAGTCTCCTGGGAGTTGTGTGTTCCTGCATGGCAAAGAGTTGGACTAGATCATTGTTTTCCAAACTTTGGTTCTCCAAATATTTTGGACTCCAGCTGACTGTTGGTCAAGCTGGCTAGGGCTTCTGAGTGTTGAAGTGAAAAACAACAGGTGGGCCAAAATTTGGGAATTGCTGGACAAGATGGTCCTTATGCGCCCTGCCAGCTCTCCAATTCTATGATTCTAGGTATGCAAGGCAGGAAGGGTATTGCAATTGGGGCTCCACTAGTTCTCACAATCTAGTCTACATTTAAAACTTCAGTCATGGCTTCTCTTTTTTTCTTACACATACTGACACTACAATATATTATTGAAGGGATAAGCTTCCTTAATGACCAAACTTTCCATATCCATAAATTTGTATGTTATACAGAGTTATTTATGCCCTACTTTTATCAAGTTATTAAATAAATTTACAGCACCAAATACAGTTATACTAGCAATAAAGACTAGCAAAAATTCTATGAAAATGAAGAATAAGTAAAAAAGAAAAAGAAAACACTATAGGGAATTAAGGCACAATAAAACAATTTGTCTTCTTATAAGCAGGACAGAAACAAAACAACGTCTACCTAATAATGGGAAGAAACAGAATACTTATCAATTCTCTGTGTTGCCAAAATACTAGAATTTTACTGACACCACTCCAAAGGCACTTTCCCTGGTAACTGTCAATCAATTATCCATTAAAGGAGGAGTAACGTAGGGCTGAAGATAATCTGAAATATACTTTCAGCATTTGGTAATTCAACACTGGCCAGGCTGCATTGGTCAAGGATAGTAATGACTTTTGATTGAAGCTTTCATCCCAAGGCAAGCAATGCTAACTTTAGGACATAAAGTTACTTTACAGCTCAAGAACAGTATATAAAAGGTTGAGGATAGTAATGGAGGAATTGATAAAAATGGCCTTCATGGGAGCCAAGCCCCTTCTGCAAATGGAAAAGGCCCTTCCATGAACAGGACTTTGCTACAAATTCTATAAGTATGTTCTTATTCCACCATTAAAATGGCTCTGCAGAGTCCAAGCTATTCTGGTTTTGTAAGAAATGAAGATATCTAGTACCTACCAGCAAGGCAGTGGGAGAAGTGCTCTTTCTTTTGCTACAGCTACTTTAATGTTTCATCTTTTCATTGCATCTATTACTTTGGTAGGTTAAACATTGGCATTAGCCAATGAAAAATAATGTCACACAATCATAATTCTTGTTCTAAAGTTTTTGACATCTTGATTCTACCCCACCCAAGACACAGATGAATTATAGCTCAATTAGTTAATTACTGGCGGTATTTCTTAGTTCTCTTCATTCTTCACTGATGTTTGCAGCACCTTATGATTTAGCATAATTTATTAATTAAATTAGTTAATGTTCTGTTTACATCTTTCCTCTCCATTAATGGAGATATTAAATAAGACTAAAGCTAATACTTGTCCTTATTATACCCCCAAGGACACTGCTATAGATACAGACATTCCCATTTATCACAAGGAGAATCCCATGTCCCTTTAGCCAATTTATATGCATCTTAAATGGGAGATTAGGTAAGGCAGAGAGAGCTTCGCTGGAGTCTATTCACTGATGCAGTTCATTAATTTATTAACATGAAATTCTGAAACCATGTGCCTCTCAGTGCATCCCACTTCAGTTATCCCATATGAAACCATTTACAAAAGCAATGGTTTTCTAATCTAAAATTGTTGTACAAAATGGCATCAAACCACCCCCATAGCAACTGAATTACTGCAGATGTGTTTGAAACTATGGCTGATAAACTGAAGCTGAGTAGGTACATGACACCTAGGCTTGACAAGTTTTCCCTGATCTGTTGAGCTGTTTGTTGGTCTGTTTTCTTATCCTTTTGCTACTGTTGTCACCTTTTTAGTATGATTAAGCTGAAAGTTCTCAGCTGCGAACCTCTCACCTGAAATGAGAATGAGGATAATCAAACTATAAAAGGAGCAGTGGCCTGCTTTGAGAAGATCTGAGTTTCTATATAGAAAAGAAATATTATTCATGTATATGAGGGATTAGCTAATAGTTGAGCACAGATTTGAGATAAGATGTGAATACACTAGTCCCTCCACATTTGTAGCTTTGACTTTTGCAAATTTGATTATTCACAAATTTTATTAGTATGTTCTCTCTAGGAACATCTAGGTGCTCCAGTACAACTCTATGGTCAACTTTAACCAAAGGTCGCACTGAAGGACCTAGAGAGAACACTCCACTCACCATTTGTAGCTCCTCCAGCACAATTCTATGGTCAATGTCTGGCAGATGTTGACCACAGAGTTGCATAGGAGGACATAGAGATTTCTAGAGAGGTGTTCTCTCAGGTAAAAACATAGTGTTTTTGTTATTTGCAGTTTTCTACATTCACAGGAGTCCTGTGCCCCTAATCCCAACGAATGCAGAGGGATGAGAGTAATTGGTTGGTATCTAACAGTGATGACAAAACTTTAAGGTGTTGAATGCTCAAACTAAAAGGTGTTCTGACACAGGGGTGGCACTTCTGCCCTCTAGGGGCAGGGCTTCTGGGGTGGGATGTCTTCCCCCTACCCTCCCAGGCCTTCAGCTGCCTCTGGAGAGGCATCATCCCTAGCTTTCAGCTGCCTCTGGGGAGGCAGCTGAAGACCTGAAATAGCTTGGAAGGTGGAAGAACAGGCATGAGCCTCTTCCTCCTCCTCCCCACCCTCCACGTGCCAGGGAAAACGGCTTCACATGCCACAGGTATACAAGGTAATAAGTGTTATTAATAAGCGCTCTCTCTCTCTCTCTCTCTCTCTCTCTCTCTCTCTCTCTCTCTCTCTATATATATATATATATATATATATATATATAATAGGTCTGAGTTTCTGTGATTATAGCAAGATTCCTCCCCATCTCTATTATTTTTAACTCTTATCTATTTTTGTAACTAGTGAATGAAGAAATAACAGCACTTGCTTCAGCAGCTGCTAGTTGGTGGCTTCCATTTTCATTTTCTTTTTTCTTTTCTTTTCTTTTTTTGCCACTTTTTTTTTTTTTTTTGGCCAGAATATCTCATGGGTGCTACTGTTGGCTACCATGAAAAAGGAGACCAAAATTTAAAAGAGCACATTATGCAGAATGTTTCAGTGCTGCTTTTCCTATGATTCCATGTCTTTTGCCCATCAAAAGGCTCAGTGACTACACAGGAACTATAACACCTATACAAGAACAAAATGAAGTAAATTGTTAGTGTACTGATAACTCAAGCAGCCTTAATGTGTGCTTTGAGTGAGATTTCTCTTGGTATTTTTATTAAGAAATCATGTGTTGAGAGTTCTTCCCACAATAAAACACACATACCCCAGTCCATTTTGTTGGCTCTTTCTCAGCTTTTTATCGGAGCAATCACACAAGTCAATCAAGCAGTGAAGCAGTAAGTACACATGTTGACAAATATCTGAAATATATAAACAAATATATCTGAAAGACTACTTCCTCCCATATGAGGTGTGTGAAGGCATTTCCAACTTCTGTTGACCTTAAGGTGGACCGGACCTTTCATGGGGTTTTCTTGGCCTCTTTCTTCAGAGGGGTTTGTCATTGCCAACCTCCAAGGCTGAGAGAGTGAGACTTGCCCAAGGTCACCCAGTGGCTGAGCTGGGATTTGAGCCCTGGTCTTCAAAGTCATTGTCCAATATTCAAACCACTACACCACACTGGCTCTCTTCCCATATGAATCTGCCTGAAATTAATTGTTCAGTGTAGGCTCTATTACATGTTCCAACACCTGATGAAGTTAGGTTGGTGTATACACAATGAGGCTTTCTCTGAAAGAGCATCCCAATTACAGAACTTCTTCCAAAAGGAAGTTAGTCTGGCTCCATTTTGTTTTGATCTACCATTGGACAGTTAAAACAGTGATGTTCTGCATGATCCTTGATATTTGAAACTACTCTGTTTTAATAGAGTGTATGAAAAACATATTCAAGAATTCAAAGATATAGCCATGTTAGTCTGTAGAATCAGTATGTACAGAGGTCTTGTAGCTCCTTTGAGACTGAAGTTATGGAAGCTCATGCTGCCAACTTCTTTATTTCAATTAGTCTCAAAGGTGTTACCAGATTTCTCTGCATATTTAAGGTTTGTTTTACATTGTTTTTAAAAAGATTTTTAAAGAGTATTTTAATGTGTTTTAAAAGGTTTTTTTTTTTAAAAAAAAGAAATCTCTGTAAATGATTTTAAATTATTGGAAGCTCTTGTGGTCCAGTAGGTGAATAAAATAAATTAAAATAAAATAAAATAAAATAAAAATAAGTGAGACATGTTAGCTGTACCTTCATCAATGATTATCTTATTCAATTCCATCTACCATCCAGTTTTTTAATTCCTTTCACAGATAGTCAATTGGTGTCCCATGGCAACTCTATCACAGTCTGTATTGGACTATTTTTACCCCCTCCCTTTTTAAAAGTTATTTTTAATTAATTAATTTACTTTCATGTCACTTCTGCAAGCTTTGGCATTTCTCAGTCTTCTGGTGAAATGGAGGCAACAGTATCTGGCTATATGTGCAGTGAGACTTATCATTCAGCAACAGAAATAGAGGTAATAAATCTTATCAGTGATACTTGCTGAGGGCAAATACAGAATGCTAGAATTGAGATTCATACAAAGAGGACATGCATGAGTGGCAATAAACAAATGACAAAGCTGATATGATTTCCTTTAAATGCAGTTATATTGTTTGCTCATCACTGAGGCTGTAGTTTTTTCAGTCCTTAAATGTGCCTTCCACAGGGAAGGCACATCTATGAGGAGATCTTTGTAAAGGGACATGGTCCATGCTACTCTACATGTTTGTTATGGACATAGTTCCACAAAACAATGGGTACCTTACAACAAGTAAATTATACCTCTGCATAGCCCCTTTTCTGTCACAAATCAGCATTCAAGTGTGAGAGAATGGCTGAGTATATGGAAGGTAAATGGGTTCCTGGAGTGACAAGGCCCTGAAAGAACCAAATAAAATGGATGCTACACAAAGCACTATTGAAGGAGGAACCTGGATGGTGGAAGCGAGGAATGGGAGAAACTTGGCCTAGGAAGCGGAAATGCTGACCAAGCATATCCAGGACAATATAATCTGTAGAATATGAATGAAATATGTTGATATGGCCAAGTGAGATCCGGCACACACAGAATGTACTAAAACTTGTGCAAAGAACTGAACTGTTCTGAATCAGCAAAACATGTTTGTTTCAAGAAAGAAGAGAAAAAAAAGGTATAAAAGACAGTACTTCTCCCACTTCACCTTGTGGTTCCTGATCCATGGCAACGGGGGCCATCCACCCTCCTTGGAGGCTTCATCAACTTCCAGTGAAGGATCGTGAGTATGAATATGTGTGAATATGTGAGTGAATGAAAAGAGCTCTTGATACTTAAGCTGTTTGTTATATTGAGTATCTGATATTAGAAATGATTGTTTTAGGTGTCTCTGTTTCTGTGTCTCAATAAATGTTACATGCAAAGTGTCTAAACCCAGATCTAGTTTCCCATGTGTCTTTGTTGAAAGTCCTATAGTCCAGGGTGGCTAAATTTCTCTCTGGATCAAAAGAACAACAGAGAACCTCGGTTCATGACACAAGTATATCATGAAATATACTTGGTTCAGATTTAATGGGGTATGCCCCATTAAGTACCTGGAATACTTGATACTTATATCAAATTCAGTCTGTAGATGGTGGTACTGAAATGTTCTTTTGTGTCTTATTCTAGACTTTTGCCTTATATAAAAGGATTAGCAGCTCCATAAGAATCTAAAATTTAGGAATGCTGTGAAAAAGCTTTGACCTATTATGTATAATTTATTTTCCTCTGAGTTTTGCAATACATAATACATTCAAGGCTATATTTTCATCATACTGAACCCTTTGTACTCAGAGTCAAGTTCCTTTAACAGCTGTGAGAACTCAGGTCAGGAAACAGTTATATCCTGTTTGTAGGGTAATGATAACAACCTCTTTCCTACAGCCAGCCTAGTAATACTAACATAGTAACAAGTGTCAGTTTGTGTTAGCAATTAGGAAGCCATATTTCCTTCACAGTACACAAATGCAGGCAGCTTTCATGGGACTTTGTAACACCTATTAGCCCTGAATGAGTGATCTTTTGAAATCAATAGACTGAAGAGATCTGGAAGTCTGAAAGGCATTCAGATGGTGATGCTCAAACATTTAGTTTAGATGAAAAGTCAAGAAAGTTATTGTTCCTGTTCTCACTTGGTTCCCTTGTGGCTGGTTGGTTTTCTCAACATGTATACTAACATGAATCTGTCACATTTTTGTATTTCACATTTTTTTTCAATAAAGCTTTTTGCTTTTTTGCTCAGTGCTCAGCATCCTTGTTTCTCTGTACTATTCTAGATATGCATTCAAAGATATAGTTGTTTTAGTTTGGAAAATCAGTATGAAAAGGGGATCTTTCTGCCCCTTTGAGACTAACTGAAAGAGAAAAGTTGGTAGCATGAGCATTCATAGACTTTAATTTACTTCCTCAGAATCATGTGGTGGAGTGTAAATATGTAAATAAGCAGTTCACTTTAAATTCCTCCACAAGAATATGCAGAGGGGTAGCTAAAATCAGGGACATCTTAAAGGTCAATAAAGGATGCTCTTCATTGTTCTCAAGAAAGGGAAAAAACAATATTGAGGCCTGAATGGGTCAGAGATGTGGGACTCAAGGGACTGGGAAAGAAGGAGAGCCAGAGGTGGGGAGTCAGAGAGTGGGGACATCACTAATCTTTTTCTGAGTCAAGATTTATCATCCATGATTAGCAGGGCCTGTGCAGTTTCACTCATGCAGATCTCCAACATATTAAATGAGTGAAACCATGCTCCCAGTTTATTCCTTATCTGTCTCACATTTATGTTCAGGGTATTGTTGCATATTATTTTTTTGGAGTTTTTTGGTTGTTGTTATATCCATAGCAATGGGAAGAAAAAGGAACTGATAGGACCATTGCATGGAGAAGATAGCAAAATGCTAACAAGAGCCAGAGAAAGACACTCCCTGACAAGTCGGGAGGGGTTTCTTGTTGCGCCAGCCATATAAGGACATGAGAGGCCTGATTGGTCAAGCGCGCAGGGGCCTCTGGGTACCTGCACACTTGGTCCAATCATGTTGATTGTTTAAGTTAAGGAAGTCTCGCGGTGATTGTAGTCTCACAAGACTTCCCACAAGAGTTTGTTCTTTATAGCTTTGCGCTGCCATGTGGCGGCAGCCATTTTAGAGCTTGAACTGAGTGACCCAACCCACCCACCCTTAATTAAAGAATTATGTTGTTACTCTAAGCTTAGGCTGGTCACCTTCGGGGGCCAGGAGGGAATTTTTCCCCAGGGTTATTTTCCTGGGTTTTTCGCCCTTCCTGAGATCAATGTATAATCAGATTGTTGGGTATGGGTCATATGTTAATTATAATTCATGTGTTACTTTATGCTTTCATTAGCTTTGTCACAACTTAGGGGTTAGGGTCTTCACATTTGGAAATTTGTTTGTATTTAGAATCAGGTGGGTAATGACCCCCACCCCACAGGAAAATTAATCTGGCTAATTGGGGTAAATTTGGCAAAGGTTCAATTAATGGAAGTGACGTATGGAAGTAAATGCATGACGTCATTAAATAATGACATCATATGACATCCTTGGAGGTGTTAAAATAGAGGTTGGCCATCTGTCAGGGGTGTTTGATTGTGTGTTCTTACATGGCAGGGAGTTGAAATGGATGGATCTTGTGGTCACTGTCAACTCATTGATCCTATGATTCTACTGGTATTAAATGGAGTAATAAAATCAAAGTCCCTTGGGAGAAATGGATGAAGAATAATTACATACTAATCTAAATTTGCTAGTACTGGCTTCCGGTGAAAATGGCGGGCGTGATGGTCCCCTTTAAGGAGATCCCAGATGGTGACAGCTTGTCATGAAGGACAGGTTCATGAAAGTGAATGGAATTTACCTTCCTGATAAAGGAGGTTCAAAGGGGCTCTCCAATGCACCCAAGATTCTCCCAGCATGTCCGGTAAGACTGCAAACTAAGAGAAATGGGTCATGGAGTGGAGATGCAGAAGAGAGCTGGGATAGCTGAGAGGAAGGAGGTGGAGCATGGGTTATCCATGTCCACAATGAACAGCTGCTTTTACATCGTAGTACAAGCACCCATTGACACTTCATTTTTTTATACTTCTACTAGCAAAAAAGAAATAATGGGACCCTCCCAATGTAAAACTTTCTACTGATAATTTTGCTTCTGTGACTAATGATTAAGAAATTGAGGAATAATTAAATAATCCAAGCTATGACAGACATTCAAAACTGATAGAGATCCTGGGGATCCAGGAGATGTATCAAAATAAAGAGGAAAACAAATAAAATAAAGAAGTAAGAAACCCAGCAAATAACTGTATGAATAAATTGCACCAACTGTGCTAATTAATTGTTTCACTGATTAAAACTAAGGATTTAAGAGGCTAAAATCTTAAAAGACTTGCAATATAATTTGGGAGATAATTCATGCTACCAGAATGAGACAGAATTTAGGAGAATGGTTGGAATATGCTAAAGAAAGAGGAACTGAGCCCAGACACTGATTTACAAAGGAATAAAACTGATAACAAACAAGCAAAATATTAAGAGAAATAAGTACCAAGAATTCAACTAATTGAA